GAAGGAAGGAAGGAAGGAAGGAAGGAAGGAAGGAAGGAAGGAAGGAAAGAAGGAAGGAAGGAAGGAAGGAAAGAAAATGGTATTTGTTACCCACTTACTATGTGCCAAGCACTGTTCTTTGGACCCATAAGGTTCATAAAGGCACGGTTATAAGGCAGGGCTGAATAAAGATTAGCATTATATCTAGGTTCCAGCATGGAATGCAACTTGAGGGTAACAAAGTGTCCAGTCTATCTCTTCTTTGAAAAGATTGTTAAAGTAATGGGCATGCCAAATAGAGTTCGTGGGCCCCGATGATTATAGGTAGGACCTGTTCTGTTACAAGGTTACTAAGAGTAACACATATCTTGTCTTGCCTGAAAGTGACTTCCTCCCACATTTGACTGTAACCCGGGAGTCCCCACTGCATGAACATCACTAATCTTTTCTACTTCATGACCCCCAGCAGTCTGTACAGGCTACTACTTACAGCCCTGCCAGGCCTGACCAGGGGTCAGAAGCATGAGCTCGGTGTTGTCAGGGAGGCGCTGGAAGTAGCCTTCAGTGAGCTCGGTGCCATCTTCGTACAAACACAGGCGGCAGCCAGAAATGGGAAGCTGTTGGTAGGGCAAGAAGGGACAGGTGTGAGAAAAACACAGACAAAAGTAGTTTCATGTACTTAGTTTCCTAGCACATAATCCTACCCAATAGCAAAGAGGTAGTGGGGTGGGAATCGCAGTTTCTATCTGCAATAATTACATAAAAATGAGCAAAGGAAAGTAAAATGCTTAAGAACAAAACAAAACAAAATACTCAGAGGGAGGCAGTTCAGTCAGGTCCGACATCCCATTTCACAGGTGAGGTAACTGAGGCTCCAAAAAGAGTTGGGTGACTTGCTCAGGGTCACACAGCTACCAAGTGACACCTCTAAAAGTTCATCCAGCATAGCGCTTAAACAGATCATAGGCTCCCAGAGCTGCAGCTGGAAGTGATTTCAGTCATTCAGTCCAACTCCTTCATTTTACTGGATAGGAGGTTAGGCGACTTAGGATCATGGCCTAGAGCTGGAAGGGACTTCCGAAGTCATTTAGTCCAGCTCTCTCATGTGAAGAAAGTGAAGCGACTTGCCCAAAGTCACACACACACACCAGAGTAATTTAAACTCTCCGGGCAGTTCCCACTTTGTGCCTGAAATGTTCTGCTCTGATCTGTCTCTTGGAATTCCCAACTCCCTTCAAGGCTGAGCTCAAGCCCCTAGGTGTGAGTGGGCCTTAAAATATTCCGTATTCAATTGTGTATATTTTGTGCTTTCTCATTTGTGTGTCTATGTTGATCCCCTCCCTCAAGAGAACGTAAGCTCCCTGAGGGCAGGAGCTGTTTAATAGTAGTCTTTCAGTCTAGGACCTAGCAAAAGCACTTAATAAACGTTAATTGAATTGAACTAAGTTCCCTCCTCCTTAAAATGAGACAGGATTGGACTAGGGCAGAGATGTCAAACAAGAGACCTAATGTGAGAAAGTACAACCTGAACCAGATTAAAATATAATTAGAAATCACTTAACAAAGTAAATAAAAGTGCAATAGAACACTGATAATGTTAATATGTGGGCAGCTAGGAGGTGAAGTGCATAGAGCACCAGGCCTGGAGTCAGGAAGACAGAGTTCAAATCCGGCCTCAGACACTTACTAGCTGGGTGACCTTGGGCAAGTCGCTTCACCCTGTTTGCCTTAGTTTCCTCACCTGTCAAATGAGCTGGAGAAGGAAATGGCAAACCACTAAGAAAACCCCAAATAGGGTCATAAAGAGATGAGACATGACTGAACAACAACAAATTAACATTAACATATGTGGTTTTCTAAGGTAATATGCTGCCCCCATTGATCCTTATATACAGTTTAGTGGCCCAGTTTCTAGTTGAGTATGATACCACCAAGACTAGACTATCGCCAAAGACCCTTCTAGCTCTAAATCATGTGTTTGAGAGAGAGAGAGCATCTTATACCTCTCAGGGCCTCAGCCCCTCTAATCAAGGCAGGGAAATAAATCCTTCACTACCCATCGCTGCAGCTAGCCTAGGAGTTGTTAGGAAAGCCAAAGTTCAAATCCTACCTCAGGCACTTACTAGCCAAGTGACCCTGGATAAGTCCCTTAATAATTCTGTGCCTCAATTTCCTCATCTGTAAAATATGAGTAATAATAGGTTTGTTGTGAGCATTAAATAACCTAGGTAAAGCATTTTACAAATCTTAAAGCACTATATTATATAAATAACTCTTAGCTATTACAAATTGCATCTATCTCCCAGGGTTGCTGTTGCATGGAAGGGAGGGCTAGTGAAGTCAGGACCACTTTAATGCAAATCCTATCTCAGGTACTTCACCCTAATATCTCTGCTTCTGTTTCCTCATCTCTTAAGATGGGTGGTTGTGAAGATGAAATGAGATGATTATATATGTTTTTGCAAACCTAAATGTTTATAAATGCTAGCTGTTACTATCTATTAGTGTATTAAAACTCAAGAGAGATCAAGGATCTAAAGGACCCAAAAGCCACCAAGGAAACTGACAATAATAGCCGTATAACTAGCATTTATTTACCTAGAGCACTTTATTATGGGTTGCCAAGGGCTATACATACTCGTGTGAGCCTGGTGACAGCTCACTCTGACGTAGGTGCTATTATTATCTCCATTTCACAAAGGAGGAAACTGGTGAAGAGTTTAAGTGACTCGCTCAGGGTCACAGTGTCTGAGGCAGGATTTGAACTCTGGTCTTGTACCAGCTAATAATTAGCTATAAGGAGTTGTTCAGGCGATGCTAAACGACTCCACTGGAGTCCATCCCCGAGTGACTGGACTAGCTAGCCTAGGTATGGTCTAAGCAGGCATGAAAGGGGCTTTTGTATCATCTGCGGCCCCCGGGATGGGCATGCCCCGTCTCTTGCAACCGGACACAAGATCTGCCCCCCTCGAGGGCCTGAATGAGGGGCGGATCCCCGCGGACCCCAAGGAGTCTTCATTGGGCCTGGGCTGGTCAGAGCCGGGACGATCGTGATCTTCCGGGGTGCAGAATAGCGCCGAAGCTCCTGGGATGCTACGGCCAAGAGCCGCCTCCCCTCTTTTCCCTCCCCCCACCCTGACCCGCGGCCCCGGAATGGCAGCTGTGACTCCCATCTGCCTGCGAGATGTAGCTCCCGCCTCCTCCCCGAGCCCAGGACCGCCCCGTCGGGGGGCAGTGGGGCGGGGGGTGGTCAGAGGCTGGTGCAGCCGGAGCAACCGCGGAAGCAAAGAAGGGGGTGCCCCCCGAGCTCCTTGAGGCCAGAGGGGTCTGGAGGAAGAAGAAAGAGACGGAAAAGGGGGAGCAGCTGGAGGACCTGGAATTTCTGACATCCTTTCAGCAACACTTCCTGGCAGTTCTTTCCCGCCACCCCGTATTTGTCCTGGCTGTGGAGCGCCCGCAGCTTGAAGGTCCGGGGCCGCTTGGACATTGCAGACCTCTGCAGAAACACCTTTCTCGGGGACGAGTCGGAGGATTGCTCGACCGAGCCGTTCGGACCCAGCCTGCCCGCCCGCGGGTGTCAGGGCTAGCGCAGCTACGGAACAAAACAGCTAAAAAGCAAGTCACCTTGCACTCCGAGGAGAAACTACATTACCCAGAAGACTCTGCGACTTGGTCCCCTCTGCGCAGCTGCACAGCGGGCCCGGCAAGGCAAGAGTTGAGGAAGGAAACTACACTCCCCAGAAGGCGCCGGAGAGTTTCGTCCCCTCTGCGCAGGTGCGCGACTGGAGAGGCCGGGGGAGGGATGGAGGTGAGGGAGGAGCGTGCGGCCAGGCGCGTGCGCGCCGGGGTCCCCGCCCGTCAGGCTCGGGCTCGGTTGTCATGAGAGCCGCGGCGCTGGCCCAGGCGATGGGCGGAGGTGGCGGAGGCTGCCGCTTCGAGGTACCGGTGCCGGGCCGCCGGGGGCGGCGGAGGAGGAGGCGGCGGGGCCTGCGTCTGCGCTCGGCGGACGGGAGCGGCGGCCGCGGCTGCTGCTGCTGAGTAGGTGGTTGGGGGGAGAGACGTTAAAAGCCCCCCCCCCGCGGGCCTCCTCACGCCGGGCCTCCCTCCCTTCAGCCGCCGGCCCGGCCCGAGGAGACCCCGCCCCTCCCCCGCCTGCCCTTTCTCTTCCAAGTCCATCCCCAGTGGGGGGCCCGGCGGGGGAGGGGGAGAGGAGAGGTGGAGATGAGAGTCATGGGTTATCAGAGCTGGTGCGGATCCCCAAGACCATCTCGAACCCCTGTCTGCCCCTCCCCTACCCCTCATTACCTGCTGGGGGAGGGGAGAGATGGGAGTCATGGGTTATCAGAGCTGCTGGGGACCCCCAAGACCATCTGGAGCCCCATTCTATCCTTGCCTGCCTCTCCCCTTCCCCTTATTACCTGCTGGGGGCCTGGTTGGGGGAGGGAGAGATGAAAGTCATGGGTTATCAGATCTGGTGAGAACCCCCAAGACCATTTCGAGCCCCTTTCTAACCCTGCCTGCCCTTCCCCCCATTACCTGCTTGTAGGGGGGAGATGGAAATTATGGGTTGTCAGAGCTGATAGGGACCCTCCCCGCCCAGACCATCTCGAGCTCCACTCCAGCCCTGCCTGCCCTGTCCCTATCCCTTTCCATTCCTGGGCTGAAATAGGGTCGGGGGAAGGGGAAAGGGGAGGATGGAGCCCTGGCCCAGGGGGCATACAGACTCCTTGGTTGTCAGATCTGGAAGAGACCTTAAAAACCGTCCAAGCCCCACCCCAGTCATGCCTGCCCAACCCCCACCTCTGCTAGGGAAGCGGCCCTAGTTAATCAGTCCCCTGCTGGGGACATGGCCATAGTTAATCAGCGTGTAGTGGGCTGGTGGAATGAGCCCTGGACTGGGAGGTATGCATAATCATAGGTTTGTCCTATCTGGAAGGGATCTTAGGGACCATTTCTAACGTCATTATAGTCCTGCTTGCCCTCTCCCCATCCTCACTCCCACAGCCCTCAGTCCTGCCGCCCTTCCTTTCCTGAGGATCTGGCAGCAGTGTTTAATGTGAAGTGGACTGATGGAATGAGACCTAGACTAGAGTTATCAAGAATCAGAGATGGTTTAGAGATTATCTAGTACAATCCCTGCACTACCTGTCACACTCCACCCCTGATCCAGCCTGGAACACAGGGATGTGGCTGTAGTTTAGCAGTAGGAATGATGTGGTGAAGGAGAAGGCCTTGACCTGGCAGCAGTTTAGAGCTGCAGATGGTCAGAGGTAGATGTGGCCCCACCACATGCCTGTGTGTATCCACCCCAACCTGGGAAGGTGAAATGGGCTTAGGATGCAGAACCTTGGATTAAAGGACTTAAAAGGGTCCTTAGAGTCCCCCTATTGTCGCTTCTGCGCAGACAGCCTCCTTGACCTCCCCCAACACATAGACAATTAAGTAGTCAGTAGTTAAAGCAGTATAATTAACAGTTCAATGCCCTAGCCTGGAAGTCATATAGAATTATAGGTCATCTACTTTTACCTCAGTCTTCTACAGAGGAGAAAAATGAGATCAGTAGAGGGAAGGGAACCTCTTTTACAGAAACTTTTAAGGTAAGACAAGAAAGTTAGTGGTAGGTCAGTAATGTGGACTGAGGTCATGTCAGGAGATTCCTACTTCCTCTCCTTTTGCAGATAGGAAAACTAAGGCCCAGGGAAAGAAAAGAAACTATTGTAAGGTAACAGAAAATTTGGACCCAAGGTCCTCTGTGTGATTCCAGCCATCTCATCTTACAGATAGGAAAACAGGCCCATTGAGGACGAGTTGACTAGGCCAAGCTAACACTACTGTACCACTTAGTGGCAGAGCCAAGGGAAGGAGAAAGGGAACAAGCATTTGTTATCCTTTTTAAAATAGATAGATATAAATTTTCTCCCCAATTAATGTTAAAAAATTATTTTTAAAAATTTTTTTTAAGTTTTGAGTTCCAAAATCTATCCCTTCCTTCCTTCTCTCTCTCCCTCCCTCTCTCCCTCCCCCCCTCCCTCTCCCTCCCCCTCCCTCCCTTTCCCTCTCTCTCTTCTCCCTGGGATGGTAAGCAATCAGATACAGGTTATACATGAAACAAGCAGTTACACTATGTGCCAGGCACTGTGCTAAGCACTTTGCAATTATTATCTCATTCGATCCTGGAAACAACCCTGGGGGGTCGGAGCTGTTCTTATCCTCATTTTACAGTTGAGGAAACTGAGGCAACCAGAGATTAAATAACTTGCCCAAAGTCACACAGCCAGTAGGCGTCTGAGGCTGAATTTGAACTCAGGACTTCCTAATACCAGGTCCAGCACTCTACCCACTGTGCCACCCGTTACCTTTGGGCCAGGACTCAAAGCCACTTCTAATTCATACGTACTTCATGGCTCTTTCCACTCTCCAAAGAATGTAGAGCTACGGGGGACCTAAGTGACATCAGCGTAATCCAATGAAGAGCGTGCTGGCTTTGGAGTCAGAGAGCTTGGCCTGGAACCCTTAGGTGACCTTGAGCAGATCACAGCACCTCTCTCAGCTTTGGTGTCCTCATCTGTCAAATAAGGAGATTGGACTTGAGTCCTTTTCAGGTCTAAATCTGTAATCTAGGCCAACCCCTTCATTTAACAAATTAGACAAATGAAGGCCAGAGACGGAAAAGCAGCTTGGCCAGAGTGACACAAGTTATACTAGACCTATCTGTTGTTTTTTTTGGGGGGTGGGGGGTTGGCAATTGGGGTTAAGTGACTTGTCCAGGGTCACACAGCTAGTAAGTGTCTGAAGCCAGATTTTTGAACTCGGGTCCTCCTGACTCCAGGGCTGGTGCTCTATCCACTGCTCCATCTAGCTGCCCCTGTAAGTGACCTATCTGTGATTTGAACATACATCCTCTAGAGACCAAATTCTGGGCTAATTCAGCCCTATCAGGCTGCAGAGTCCCAGGGTCCGTCCCTGCTCTCCTGGTGATTAATAGTGGGACTTTGAACAAAGCCCTCCCTCACTCTGGTCCAGTTTCTCCATATCTAAAATGAGTGGTTTGAATTTGGTCTTTAAAGACCCTTCCAGGTCTAATAGTCTGTAAGCCTAGACTTCTAAACGGACTCTAGTGCCAATTCCCAGTGGCATTTTGGAGGAAATGGAAAGATTCCTCTCCTGGGAGTCAGGAGCCCTGTATCCTGAGAGCATTTCTGCTGCTAGTTAGTGGGAGAGCCTTCTCTGGACCTGTTCCCTCGTGGGTAAAATGGAAGAACTGAACCAGCTTATCTCCAAGATCCCCCCAGCACCAGAATCCTCTGCTCCTATTTCATCCCAGTCATTTGACACCCTTAGTGGCCTTGTGGAATAGCAAAAGAGAGCACAATGTAGGAAGCCAGAGCACGAGTCCAAATTCTGCTTCCAGCTCACAGTATGACCTTGACCAGGTCACTTCCCTTCTAGGAAACTCCTTTCCCTCAGCTGCAGAATGAAAGATTGGCCTAAAGAATGGCTTCAGGGTCCCTTCCAGTCCTGATAGCTCTCTGCCTCTGACTCATACGGTTTTCTCAATCATGGTCTGGAGCTCGAAGGAATCCCTGAGACCATCCACTCAGCCTCACATTACCTGAGAAGGGAGTTGCCCCAAGTCACTCACAGATTTTGAGCCTCTGAGGGGCTGATAAATAGAACCTATCTATGAAATACAGATAGGGCCGCTAGGTGGTGCCATAGTGCATAAAGCACTGGCCTTGGAATCAGGAAGACTCATCTTCATGAGTTCAAATCTAGCCTCAGCCACTTACTAGCTGGGTGACCCTGGGCAAGTCACTTTACCCTGTTTGCCTCAGTTTCCTCATCTGTAAAATGAGCTCTGGAGAAGGAAATGGCAAACCACTTCAGTATCTCTGCCAAGAAAACCCCAAATGGGGTCACGAAGAATCAGACATGACTAAACTGCAACAACAAATGAGGTCCAGATACTTCTTCATGGTAGAGGAGGAATATAAATTTTGAAATTAGGAAATCTGAATTCCAGGCCCAAATCTCTGCCATTTAACTCACTCACTGGGTACTGTGTGACTGTGAATAAGGCTTCCTCTCTTGTACATTCCATTTCTTTATCTGTAAAATGGGATTTAAAATACTCGTGCAGTCTTGCTCACACTTTGCACACTCCTCCATGTTTCCAAAGTGGGCTGTTTTATTATATAGCTCTTGCATTAAGCTCTCTTACTAAGGAGCCAAGGGTGACTGAGAGGCAATGTAGGTAAGGGGGAAATGCACTAGACGTAGAGTCAGATGATGAATCCTGCCCCAGATATTTGTTAGCTGTGGTGGTGTAGGGCCCAAATTCAGTCCTGCCTCCGACACTTATTGGTTGTGTGACCCAGGGCAAGTCATTTCACTCTATGCCTCAGTTTCCTTATCCGTAAAATGAAGGTGTTGGATTTGATATCCTTTCTCTAAGGCCTCTTCCAGTTCTAAGTTTTTGATCCTAAGGAACAACTTGTCAGAGCCTTAGTTT